ATATGAGTATTGACCTTGTATAGTTTTGGAAACAGCAGAATATTAGCGATATATAACTAAAATGAGTCTGTTAATAGTTCTTATTATTAATTTTTAAACTTACTTTTTTTGGTAATTTTGGATATTAATTTCTCCAAACTCTCTATGATAAGAGTTATTCAAAAACTGAAATCAGGCAAAAAATTGTTGCTATGTTTTATAGTTACCATAGTATTCATGTTAAAGTTTTGAAAAAAAGTTAATAGCACAAGTTAATATTTGCGGCAAAGCAAACAATTGGCAATGACTGTTTCCAAAAGTTGAAGGTCAGATGTTTCAAATGCATGATAAACATGTTTTATTATTATTATATATTCTATTTTAACACAGTATTCAAAAGTAAAAAAAAAATTCATTGAATTTTATAAAGTCATACACGTAAAAATAAAAAGCAATTATAGGTTGAAATGTGACCAAATACTGAAAAAAAACCTTTTTAGAACAAAATATGGTATGTATTTTGGATGTGCAATGGTTGCCAAGGTCATTATGCGCGCACAGAGAGCCTTCAAAACAGCACTCTGTATGTTTAAATGACCGATATACTTTTAAAAAAGCACATTTCCTCATAACTAATTATCAATTTTTAAAGATATTGGTGTGAAACTAGTTTTATATAAAAAATTATATTAGATTCTTTAAATAATGTTGCTATGGAAATAAGCAGAAAATATATGCGCAAAAACCTGAAAAATATTTTCTTTCCTTGGCTGTACCCAAAAATCTCAAATCTTTTATGATTGATATTTATTAACAGCTAACCTGACTTTTAATTTAAAACTATCATCCAATCTCTAAGTGGATGCACAGAAATGCACATATATAATATTGATATAAAGTTCACAAAATGAACATTTTCCTGCAATCTGATTGGTAACCATTTACAGTGTTGTTTTCTTCATCAAATTTTAACAATATATGATATTCAACTTCAGTTCTAACAGATAAGTACTATTCAAGCTGAGTCCTTTAATTTGTTTCTTGATTATATGGCAATTTAATGCATAATGCAGCGAAAAAATTTCACTTTTAAGCACTGGTACTTTGTTTCCATGGTAACACTGCAAAGTAGCAATTATACCCAATTTTTTTTGGTTTTGGTTTGAAATTTAAATCATAAAGACTTGAATTTTTATGTTTTTCCTCAAGACAGTATATATAATAATTTTTACTGGTTTTGCATGGTTACACTGTGTTACAATTGGCATTGGTAAAAGTTATTTATAGAATAATATCGCTTATACTTATATTTAAGGTCAAAAATTTTCATTGTTTTTCTTAAGTCGTTGATTGAGTTTGAGCATGTAACACCTACCATTAGTGAATACGGAGTGTTTTTCAGCATATTTCAGCATTTTAAATGTATTCCAAATGTACATATACACTGGATTAAGATATATTTAAACAGTTTCTTACAGTATAAGTGACATTAAGGTGTCATGTTTTTGTGAGAATGGTTTGTTTGCTTTTTCTAGTTTTTATTAAGCCACAGTCAAGATTTAAAGTGGTGAAAATTACGATTTTTCAAACTTTTCCGGCTGTTGCCATAGCAACCGAGACATTAGCAACGAAATTTTGTTGATATTTGTTTCTGGTGTCAATTACTAAGCATGGGTGAAGTTTCATCAAAATCGGTGACCATGCGTGGCAACGAAGTTTAAGTGGTTACAGAGAATGGCAATTAATTCTTAAACTTACTTTTTTGGTAATTTTGGATATTAAGGAAGTAGGAATTCAAAAACTGACAGAGAAAAATCCTACTAGAATACTAGTATTCATGTAGTTTTACAAAAAGTTAATAGCACAATTTATTTTATTATTTCTTTTTTTATTTAGCAACATTATCGTAATTTTCACAATACCTTACATATAATTCATTATCCAAGAGTTTAAATACTTATTTTTTTTTCATTCACATCAGTGAAGTTAATGATATTTTTACCATCTGAGATAATGTCATCTATTTTTTTTTTTTTTTTTTTTTGAATATAACATTTTCCATTTTTAAATTTATGCTCTCGTAATCAAAGATTCGAGGGGTATATAGTCTTTGATCTATCCGTCCGTCTCTCTAGCTGTTTGTCTGCCCGAAAAAATTAAATATTGCCCATAAGTTTTGATGGATTGAAACTATATCATTATGCCCCTCATATTTTATGAGTATAGCCAGTGTGACAAGACTTTTCTTTAGATACAACATATTTGACCTCTTGACCTTGAAGTTTGATCCAATTTTGCAAGAATTTACCCAACTTTAATCTTCGCCATAACTTTTTAACAATTGGTGCTATAGGGTTTTCCTATTTCACAGGCATATTTATTGTGACAATTCCTTTCCACCACCATATTTTTTTTACCCTTTGACTTTGACCTATGCGTTTGACGCACTTTAAAAATCATCCTTGGACTTAAAATTTTCAAGTTAGTACTAGGGCCTTCATACCGGTACTTTACAGGTGTATTCCATGTGATCTTCCTTTGGATACCAACAATTTAGACCTTTTGCCCTTTTTGAAAATCTATACCCATGACCATAATTTTCAGTGCTGTTAGGGTTCTAATATTATACATGTGTGTTTCTTATGTAAAGACCTTCCCTTGGATACCTATTTGACCCTTTGACATCGACCTTGCAGTTTGGCCCACATCTAAAAACTTTAACCTTCGCCATGCACAAATCTTTAAGTGGTTAGTACTTTGGTTTCCATATTTCAAAAGTATATTTATCGAGACAAGTCCTTTCTATGGGTTACAACATTTTGCTTCCCTTGAACTTGAGTATGACTTGCATTTCAGAAACTTCAAACTTCTCCAAAAGCTGTCATACAAGGGCATCCGTGTTTAACAAACGGGTGTGATCCCACCAAATTGATCTATGTGTAAAATATTCTGATACATTTCTCGCAATACTTTTGAACAGTTAGTATGTAAAATATTCTGATACATTTCTCGCAATACTTTTGAACAGTTAGTACTGGCCTGGGCTTTCATATTTCACACTCCCTATGACAAAAACTTACTTTGGATACCAACAATTTTGACCTAGACCTTGGAGTTTGACTTGCATTTAAGGACGTCAAATCCTATATGCTGCCAACAAACACACCTTGTTCTTTTAGACTTGAATATGATAAAAGCATTTTTTTCAACATATACTTTACAAATGTTTACAAAGAGGCGCTTCAGAGGAAAATACAAACTACAACAGCCATCTACAATCTTTGTATGGTACATATTAATATCTCACGAAAAAATTAAGACAAGTGCGATGCAATTAGCCGAAAGCCACAAAAATCTTTGAGTCTTTTTTCTTGGCTTCTATAATTGCAATGTGGTGGAATAATTTACATTGCAGGAAGTATCTTGGATCCAATAAATCAAGAATATAAATAATACATTGAAATGATGCCAATCACTTATCACAGAGTTCCCTAAACGATTTATGAAATACACAGTTCATCCTCTCCAATGTTTAATAAACGTATACAAAATGTTTATGTAGCATTCTGATGGTGAAAAAAAAAACGGAGATTGGAATTGAAAATTCTGAAGAATGCAGTAGTCAATCTTTCACGTATCAAAACATGACAATGAAAATTTTTAATACCCACAAAACGCTCCCAAAGTTTAAAATATAAAATGTATTCTGTAGGTTCCAATTAATTCGCCATATGGTAGTAGAACACGTGGTCGAATTTAGAAAGTTCTATATATAGATATATACGTGAGGATCTTGGTGACAAAAAACAAATTATAAAGAGTTTTATTGTTGGTAGACCACAAACAATGATAAATTAATGTTGCTAACCAGAACTATATACCTGCACAGTCTTTAACCGACCATTGTGGGATCATACTTATGTATTGTTAAAAAGTTTACGAGCATTTATTCGAATACCACTTTATTTCTAATATACTGGTATATAAACGGAAAAAACCCCACAGATATTTAGAAATACCCCTAAATAGTATTCATTGGTGATAGGTACTCATTTTCTGCAAGCAACCGTGTCTTGATGAATGTCTATAAACATAAATAATATCCCTAGACCCGGGACTAGTTTTACATTAATAACCTAAAGAAAAACTGGATCGATGCTATGTGCCAATTATCTTAAAATCCTAGCAAAAATATTAAATTACGGCATCAAAGAACTTCTTAATACAGCTGTCTTAACCTTAGAAGAATAAACAGCGTGTGGAATTCTATACTGCATGCACATCCTGGTATTTCCGTTGGAGAAAAAGATCGATTTTTAAATAGAAAACAAGAGTAACAATGAACACGAAAAAAAAAACTTCGGCTAGCGCGTTGCTACAATAGAAAAATTGTAATGGTTCAAGATAAATCTAGATTGATTATTATTCATATTTTCGTGTACCGAGGCATGAAATGTAAGATAATAATGACTGCAGGCGCCATTCAAGTAGTAGGATAAGATTTATGTCGATAATGTGATCTTAATGCTTTAACCATCCAAGCAAAGAGATGCCAATCAAACCTGATGGACATTTCTGGTTTTCCCGCCCTCCTTTTGTTAATTCGGATCGATTTTTTAAGTCCCATCAACATTAAATACATGTATATAAATAAATATTAAAAAATCAACCAACATGCAGCTGGAAAAAAATGCATAACATCACAGTCAATTAAACTGGAATTTGGGTAAAGGAAGCATTTAACCTTAATTATGCTTGTTGTCAAAGAAACAGTAAATGGAGGAAATAGCGGGAAACTCCACCCGACCGTCGCAGACGACACCAGGGCAGTGCCCCCCTTTTTTTTCTAGAGATAAGGGTAATCTATTTACCACACCAGTGTTTATATAGTAATGGCACCCTGATTAAAATTCCTTTTATTTGTAAAAGTTTTGTAAATACCAATGTGTGTACAATCCTAATGATTTGTGTTCACAGGAGTAAATAACTAAGAACTTAAAAAATAAAAATTCAAAACAAAAAAAGATAGTATCACTTTTATTTAGCAGTTCCCAAAATCACATGCAATCATTTTTAACAGATTCTAGTAACACAGATTTATACAGAACAAACTTTGTTTGTTGGAGTCTGAATTATTTATATTCTATAATGATTACACATTGATAACCTCTGGCTATAGAATTTTACATTGGAAAAAAAAATACAGTGATTTGCATAATTGTTTGAAAGCAGTTTGGGTTTCTTCCCTAAGCACAGAGTGGAATGCTCAAAAAGAGGTAGGGAAAGATTACAGGAACAGGGCAAGATCATTACAAGAGATTTCTGAAGCAGAGCAATCAATCTTAAAAACAGAAAAAAAACTATTGATTGGCTAATAAAAAGGAGAGAAAATAACATCAAGGACCTGGAAGTGACTTCTTCTGGTCATTTGGTTGTCTAGATGATGAACAGTTATAGGTATATGGATTATCATTGTAAATATAAAATAAATCACAAACCAATACAGTGTGATTGGATACACATATGAACTGAGGATGTTATCTGTGTTGCATTTCTGTGTGTAGCCTCATTTTGAATATGTTTGAATATTCTAAAGTGTGTGAAATTTACTCACTTTATAAAAACATTTCAAATAGAGGAATTTCATTCCCTTTCAATGTCACACATACATTTAATTCAGTAGATTTTTCCAGTGAATTCTTCATATGCTGTATTAGGAAATCCATTTTCCATTTTGATTTGAACTCCTGGCAATGCATGCCAAGTTTCAGCTTTGTGTCAGCCATTACTTTTTGATGTGTCTAACCACTTATTGGTGAAAGCAGAGATCTTTTCTATGCTAATTCCTGAAAGACAAAAACATATTAAATTAACACCTGAACTTATGAAAGTTATGTTTTTAATTAAATTTTGAATAATTTTTTGTTATTTAATTTTATCAAGAGTATACACATTTGAAGACACTTCAGGGCTTCTTGAAACCGCAGTAATGATACTTTGCAAAAATTAGCATTTTAATTATTCAATTACCTGCATCTTATCCCAAATTTAACTGGGCGTGTTGATTATTGTATGCAAGTTTACTTTATATTGGGCTCTTATTTATTATTGTTACACATTCATGCTGCAATTTAGGCTATTATAAAGAACAGTGAAATAACATAAGCTATTGTTTATTTTATCACTAAGATGTAATTAACCATACTGTTGAAGCAGAAACTTAGCAAGGAATCAATTTTGGCATCTTATAAGGATGTTTAGATTGCTTAAAATTGAAAACTCTTTACAATTCATTCAACATATATGTCATGATGCTAGGCATTGGTAAAACTCTAAAATTACTTCTTGCTTAAATTATACATTGATTTTTAAGGACAAAATGCTGAATTTGTATCTTGCTAAATATTCCTCTTGTTCAGTATTTGAATACACCTATGGGCAGAATATCATACCATCCTTGTGACAGCTGGCCAGAGACTTGTGAAAGGTGGGCGGGGCAGATGTCCTGACCAACTCCCTGCTGGACAGCACGGCCACCATGTGACCAGAGCTGATGTTTTCTCCCTGCTGGGCCAGGTATCTGGCACAGGAAAGAATCTCATACAGATTCCTAAAAAATATTATCTTTATTCCATCAAACAATTTCATACAAAACAATTCAAAAGTATCTAATTTTAATGACAACATTATTACATTGAATTTCCAGTTTTATCAGTTTTCTAAGTTACTTTTGCAGAGTTAAATATTAAAATTTCAAAAACTTGCTAGGGAAAAAAGAAGTGTGATACAAAAAGTCATTCACAAAATTTCAAAAGCTTGCAACCAAACATTGTTACTCTTGAACATAAAATGGCATAATTACTCAACATATACTTAAAAGTTCATCAAATTTTAATCTACTTGTGGTAGGTCATGATTTATCATCATTTATTTACTGTCTGTTTTTATAGTCTACATTACAAAACGAGTTAATTCTTAACCATCATAGTATAATGATTCAACTGTTTGAAAATAAGGTGCAGGTTTAGTGATAAACACCATGAAATATCTCTTTTATGTTATATTACCATCTTCATTCACACCCAGTGATTAAATTCAAACTTAACAAAATATCAACATAAAATGGAGGTTTTTCTTGCTTGAAGTGTATGTAATGTAATATTTTAATTTGTTTACAGTGTGTAATATGAAGATAGACATTTGCCGAGTATAAAACACTTGATATATTGATTATAAAAATACTGACAAAAAAATTGCATGATGTTGCTGAAATGTATCCGTGACAAATCATACAGTGAAACGATTTATTTAATACACACTCACCACAAGTCTCGATTACTTTTCTTCAGGTTTTTCGGAATATTTTCTGCGACTTTCTCATTGCTTTTCTGTGCTCGTATGTACCTTTAACAAAAAAACAATTTGACACCAAGTCCAAACTAGATATTGTTATAACAATGAGTGTGTAAACAATATGATTACTGCCCTCTATAAACACGTAATGGCTGATAATGCTACAGTAGGGAGAACTGGCTCAATAAGATAGTATCAGTATAGCCCTAATGGCCCAGTCTGTCAATGGTGAAGTAAATTAATAATTTATCTATCCCCATGATTGAAGGAGCAGACACATTCATCACTAACAGGTACAAATTATGCATGCTAATGGAAGCCTTATTAAGCAATATGGGTTATCTTTTTTTCCTTACTTTACATGGTGAACTTGTACCTGCTCACTTGAAAACTAGGAACTCATAGCTTTGGATTTTTTTGTCTGTTCCCACATCCTTTCTGGAGAAAACCAATTATCTTTTGTTTCAAATCAATTAGGTTTTCTCCAAAGTGTGCATTCAGGTGTCACAAACTGTTAAGGTCTCATCAGTTAAATTATCACCTTCACTTGGTCAATTATTCATACACAGATTTTTTTCAATGATTGCAGTCCCCAAAGACACATGAAAAAAAAAGCTCGGAGGAAATTAAACATTTTAAGACCATTTGATCCTCACTGTGTGGCCTTTACATTGCTGACATCTATTCTGCTAACCCACACATTCTTCTGTTTTTCACAAAATTTATGTGTACAGTGTTTTTGATTTACCTTTAAGATAGTTATCAATTATTGCTTAATCCTAACTATAAAATGCCAGCCAACTAATTCTTTAATAGTACAGAAAATTCAAAGCTAAACCAGTTATTCCAATTAACACTTAAAAATAAGCCCATGAGCATTATCAGTTATTTAGCATTACCAACAATACTTAAGATCATTCAATAGCAAAACCAACCTGATGTGAAATGCATACATCCTCACTTTGTCTTGCTAAATAAGAATCTATCAATCAAGATAAAAGCAAAGAAAATCCACCCACAGCAAAATGTAAGTACTAAAAAGTGATTACCATATGTCAAAAGTTTCAACCATTGCTACACTTATTTGACTGCCAATGAATATATTCACATCTAAATCCAGAACAAAGCAATCCATTACAGGAATCACACAGTATCTTCTCATTATAGCCATTGTTAAAACCATCAAAGTGTCCAGCCAGTACATGAAAGTCTTAGCCCATACAGGGACCACACAGTGTACAGCACTTGTCCAATACATGTAGGTATATAAGAATCCAACTCAGATCCTATACAGTGTATAAAACCTGTTTCATCCATGGACCCATAAAGTCTACCAGCAGATAACGACAAGTCAGACCCACACTGCATCTAATTGTACACAACAGCACATAGGACCCACTATTACTTTAAATAACACTTAGACAATGGTCAGATAACAATGTACCTAAAAGTTCACAACAAGCATAACACAGCATTGCCTAATAAAAGACCCAACTGAAAACAGTACAAGTAACACAAAACATTACCCACTCAGAATGTATATAGGTAAAGATATTTTCATCAAGTTCTTTTTTTGAGTCCCACTTTGAGTCTACATTTAGATAATGCCCCTCCAATAGAAAGAACCACTCAGAGTCTACCTATAGATATCAGCCATCAATAAATACCACCCATCCAATGCAAGGACCAACTCAGTGTCTACACACATTTAAAGACAATGTCACCCAGTCCTGTACATGGGACCCACTCAGTGTCTATTTCTAGATACTGCCTATCAATTACTGGGACTCAGTGTCTATTTCTAGATACTGCCTATCAAATACAGGGGCCACTAAGTTTCTTTTTATATACACTGTCTATCTTTTACAGGAACCCACTCAGTGTCTATCTATAGATACTGCCTATCAATTACTGGGACCCACTCAGTGTCTATTTCTAGATACTGCCTATCAATTACAGGGGCCCACTAAGTTTCTTTTTATATACACTGTCTATCTTTTACAGGAACCCCCTCAGTGTCTATTTATAGATACTACCTTTCAATTACTGGGACTCACTCAGTGTCTATTTAAAGATACTGCCCATCTATAACAAGGACACACTCAGTGTCTATTTATAGATACTACCTTTCAATTACTGGGACCTACTCACTGTCTATTTAAAGATACTGCCCATCTATAACAAGAACCCACTCAGTGTCTATTTAAAGACACTGTCTATCTACAACAAAGACCCATTCAGTGTCTATTTATAGATCTTGCCCATCTATAACAAGGACCCATTCAGTGTCTATTTATAGATCTTGCCCATCTATAACAAGGACCCATTCAGTGTCTATTTATAGATCTTGCCCATCTATGACAAGGACCCACTCAGTGTCTATTTAAAGACACTGTCTATCTACAACAGAGACCCATTCAGTGTCTATTTATAGATACTGCCCATCTATAACAAGGACCCACTCAGTGTCTATTTATAGATACTACCCATCTATAACAAGGACCCACTCAATGTATATTCATAGATACTGCCCATCTATAACAAGGACCCACTCAGTGTTTATTTAAAGAAACTGTCTATCTACAACAGAGACCCATTCAGTGTCTATTTATAGATACTGCCCATCTATAACAAGGACCCACTCAGTGTCTATTTCAAGACAATGTCTATCTACAACAGAGACCCATTCAGTGTCTATTTATAGATACTGCCCATCTATAACAAGGACCCACTCAGTGTATATTTCTAGATACTGCCCATCTATAACAAGGACCCACTCAATGTATATTCATAGATACTGCCCATCTATAACAAGGACCCACTTAGTGTCTACTTAAAGACAATGTCTATCTACAACAGAGACCATTCAGTGTCTATTTATAAACACTGTCTATCTACAACAGAGACCCATTCAGTGTCTATTTATAAACACTGTCTATCTACTACCGGGATTTAGTATCTACTTACCTGTTTCCTTTTCTGAATTCGGACTCCAGCCACCTGATGGCCTCTCTCGCCCCCACTGACTCCTTCTTAAGGACATCCAGTGTATCAATCACTGTAAGCACAAAAGTAGGCAAATTATCAAACAAGCTTCCTGATCAATTAACTTAGTCAGTCAACTGCTGTAATAGAAATCATAGCAAAAAATATTAAACCATAAAAAAGTTTTACATAACATCTTAGATTCTGCTAGAAAAATCTGTCAAAACCTTTTTGTGTCAATCAGATACAGTCAAACCTCACTATCTTGAACTCAATAGGACCAAGAAAAAACTTTTAGATATCCATGGTTTGAGATATTGATGGTAAAATACTTATGGATTAAGCAGTTAGGGTTTCCACATAATTTTAACATATCCATTGTATTATAAGATATGTGTTCAAATATGGAAGTTAAACTTTATATTAATAATTTCATGTATACAGAGTGTGCTTATTAATTAAACAGATACATGTATATTGCATTTTTGTTTTTAGGCCAAAAGGAGGATACAACTACCCAAGGAATACATTAATTCATCAAGAATAGCTATCTGAGATAGAGATGATGTCATCAGTCTGTAGGATAAGTTACCTGAGATTGGGATGATGTCACCAGTCTGTAGAATAAGTTACCTGAGATATATATAATGTCATCAGTCTGTAGGATAAGTTACCTGAGATAGGGATTATATCATGAGTCTGTAGGATAAGTTACCTGAGATAGATATGATGTCACAAGTCTGTAGGATAAGTTACCTGAGATACAGATGATGTCACCAGTCTGTGGGATAAGTTACCTAAGATAGAGATGATGTCACCAGTCTGTAGGATAAGTTAATTGAGATAGGGATGGTGTCACCAGTCTGTAGGATAAGTTACCTTAGATAGATATGATGTCACAAGTCTGTAGGATAAGTTACCTGAGATAGGGATGGTGTCACCAGTCTGTAGTATAAGTTACCTAAGATAGGGATGGTGTCACCAGTCTGTAGGATAAGTTACCTAAGATAGGGATGGTGTCACCAGTCTGTAGTATAAGTTACCTGAGATAGGGATGGTGTCACCAGTCTGTAGGATAAGTTACCTGAGATAGGGATGGTGTCACCAGTCTGTAGGATAAGTTACCTGAGATAGGGATGGTGTCACCAGTCTGTAGTATAAGTTCCCTGAGATACGGATGGTGTCACCAGTCTGTAGGTTAAGTTACCTGAGATAGGGATGGTGTCACCAGTCTGTAGGATAAGTTACCTGAGATAGGGATGATGTCACCAATCTGTAGGATAAGTTACCTGAGATAGATATGATGTCACCAGTCTGTAGGATAAGTTACCTGAGATAGCGATGGTGTCACCAGTCTCTAAGATAAGTTACCTGAGATAGGGATGGTGTCACCAGTCTGTAGTATAAGTTACCTGAGATAGGGATGGTGTCATCAGTCTGTAGGATAAGTTACCTGAGATAGATATGGTGTCACCAGTCTGTAGGATAAGTTACCTGAGATAGCAATGGTGTCACCAGTCTGTAGGATAAGTTACCTGAGATAGGGATGGTGTCACCAGTCTGTAGGATAAGTTACCTGAGATAGGGATGGTGTCACCTGTCTGTAAAATAAGTTACCTGAGATAGGGATGGTGTCACCAGTCTGTGGGATAAGTTACCTAAGATAGAGATGATGTCACCAGTCTGTAGGATAAGTTAATTGAGATAGGGATGGTGTCACCAGTCTGTAGGATAAGTTACCTTAGATAGATATGATGTCATGAGTCTCTAGTATAAGTTACCTGAGATAGGAATGATGTTACCTGTCTGTAAAATAAGTTACCTGAGATAGGGATGGTGTCACCTGTCTGTAAAATAAGTTACCTGAGATAGGGATGGTGTCACCAGTCTGTAGGATAAGTTACCTGAGATAGATATGATGTCACCAGTCTGTAGAATAAGTTACCTGAAATAGGGATAATAAGAATGCCTTTTCCTCCCTGGGTGAGCTGTTTGACCAGGTGTAGACTGTCACACAGACAAGTTGTGTCAGGGATCAAATAGGGAGGGAAATGTGGGGTGTCGGAGGCCTCTAGAGATCCCTCTAACTGACTGACTTCAGCCTGATTAAAAGAAAACCAGAAGACTGAAATTTCATGCCAAACATTGAGTTTTAACTAATGAAGCTTTGCTGTCAGGAATTGATCATTTAAATTTAGCTTTCAGCATTTTAAACATTTTAAAAATTTGCAGCTCCTTGGCTATTCTTTTCAAACACATAGATTTAAATGGGAAGTAGGTGGCTAGTATATCTAAGATTTTGATAATACAGATAATTTATTTCTTTTTGCAAAATGTTCCATAAAAAATTGTTTATCTTGTATAATATGTGTAACCTATGTCTTAATCACTTGTGTCACCTAATTGAATCCATTCAAAATTTCCACTAAAACCTTCTAAAATATTAATTGTGCAACAAAAAATTTAGTTCTTTAAATACATTTCTTTCCAGGCTGTTATTATGACCAAATATATATATATATATATATTTATGCAATTTGATTTCTAAAATAAATTTCACCAATTTTATTTTACCTCTATAGTAGAAGTTTAAAACCAAATTAGACTGTAATATCTGAGCAGTTTTATGCTAAAAGCACATCACCATCTGGCCTAGTTCATTGCTGAAAATTTGTATTTCATTACAAAGATTAACATTTAAATTGCTATTAGTCATTTCTGACTTCATGCTCTTAGCTGATTCAAATTGGATTCCTTAATTTGAAGTGTTAATTTGCAGCCATTTATAAAGCAAGGGTCGGGATCTGTATTAAAAACATCATGAAATTTTAAAAATTAAACACAAGAAATTAATTTTGATAATTGAGATGATAAAAAATCTCATATATTTTCTTAAAGCAGTTTCAGATTTTAATTAGACTTGAGAATAATTGTGATAACTTTAATTCCCTTTTTATAAATGTACATAAACACAGAATCTATTATAGCATCTAATGTATTAACCACTTCACCATAAATTAAAAACCAGAAGTCTCTGTCGAGACTGTAGCTCCATTGGTTTATACTTAAAACAAAGGAAGAGGAAGTAGAAGTTGGGACTTGAAAATTTAAAACAGCAATGAATAGAAAAATGATCCTTGCCACTCATCAAGATAACAAGAGGCCCATGGGCCACATTGCTAACCTGAGCACAGTGGCTAGGAAAAAGTAAAAATTGGTTTATCATTGAAAAGTTTAAATCCAAAAGTAGTCCCATGACCAATCATGGCTTTGCTTTATTTGAGATGGTGATTTTTAAAGAATTTTCCTATATATTTCTATATCAAACTTTGGTCGGCCATTGTGGCCCCTACCCCCCGGGGTCATGATTTGAACAAACTTGAATCTACACTACCTGAGGATGCTTTCATATATATATGATCAATTATGACTTTGCTATTCTTGAGAAGAAGATTTTTAAAGAATTTTTCTATATATTTCTATGTAAAACTGTGGTTGGCCATTTTGGCCCCGCCCTACCCCTGGGGGTCATTATTTGAACAAACTTGAATCTACACTACCTGAGGATGCTTCCTTATATATATGATAAATTATGGCTTTGTTATTCTTGAAAAGATTTTTAAAGAATTTTCCTATATATTTCTATATAAAACTTTGGTCGGCCATTTTGGCCCCGCCCTACCCCCGGGGGTTATGATTTGAACAAACCTCAATCTACACTACCTGAGGATGTTTCCATATATACATGATCAATCATGGCTTTGCAATTCTTGATAAGAAGATTTTTAAAGAATTTTCATATATATTTCTATGTAAAACTTTGGTCGGCCATATTGGCCCCGCCTTACCCCCATGGGTCATGATTTGAACAAACTTGAATCTACACTTCCTGAGGATGCTTCCATATAATTATGATCAATTATGGCTTTGCTATTCTTGAGAAGAAGATTTTTAAATAATTTTCCAGACCTATATATTTCTATATAAAACTTTGGTCGGCCATTGTGGCCCCGCCCTACCCCCGGGGGTCATGATTTGAAGGAACTTGATTCTACACTTCCTGAGGATGCTTCCATATAATTATGATCAATTATGGCTTTGCTATTCTTGTGAAGAAGATTTTTAAAGAATTTTCCTATATATTTCTATGTAAAACTTTGGTCAGCCATTGTATATTTGTACATACCATCAGATTTTCATTAATTCCCAATTATCTCCACTTGAATGAGGGCATGGCCCTTCATTTGAACAAACTCGAATCCCCTTTACCCAAGGATGCTTTATGGCAAGTTTGGTTGAAATTGGCCCAGCGGTTCTTGAGAAGAAGTCGAAAATGTGAAAAGTTTACAGACAGACAGACCGACGCTGGACAAAATGTGATCAGAAAAGCTCACTTGAGCCTTTGGCTCAGGTGAGCTAAAAACACATGCACAGAATTATGTATCTTAGTATGGTCTACTTGTGTGCCAAGTTATATTGAAATCGGACCAGAACTGTAGGTTGAGTAGCATTTGGAAAGAATTTCACAGAAATTTCTATTTTTAGTAACCATGGCAACACCATTCATCGAAAGCAAAAACCAATTCACAGAGTTATGTATCTTAGTGTAGTCTACTTGTGTGCCAAGTTATATTGAAATCGGACCAAAACTGTAGGAGGAGTAGCATTTTGAAAGAATTTCACAGAAATTTCTATTTTTAGTAACCATGGCAACACCGTTCATCGAAAAAAAAAAACCAACGCACAGAATTATGTATCTTAGTATAGTCTACTTGTGTGCCATGTTATACTGAAATCGGACCAAAACTGTAGGAGGAGTAGAATTTTGAAAGAATTTCACAGAAATTTCTATTCTTAGTAACCATGGCAACACCGTTCATCGAAAAAAAAGAAGAAAAAAAAACCAATGCACAGAATTATGTATCTTAGTTTAGTCTACTTGTGTGCCATGTTATACTTAAATCGGACCAGAACTAACTGTAGGAGGAGTAGCATTTTGAAAGAATTTCACAGAAATTTCTATTTTTAGTAACCATGGCAACACCGTTCATCGAAATCAAAAACTGATGCACAGAATTATGTATCTTAATTAGTCTACTTGTGTGCCAAGTTATATTGAAATTGGACCAAAACTGTAGGAGGAGTAGCATTTAGAAAAATTGTTTACAGACAGACGGACGGACGACAGATGCATTACTATCGCATAAGCTCTTCTGGTCTCTGACCAGTAGAGCTAAAAACTGACTGGTATTTTGATGCATTTTACAGAACATATTTTGCTGTTGTTACACCTGATAATCTAATTCATATTCATAGTTATAAATATATATTTGCATATCCACTGCTCTCTCCAATTATGATCATGTAGTTTTCAATTGCGTCCATAGGACTATAGAAGTCCTTGCTTCCACTATGAGCGCAATTGCTCTATCACACTCGTGTAGTACAATCTCAGCTACACTTATACAACGAGTTGAGAAGTATATATATGAAATATTTTATAAGAAGAATAAAAATAAGTTTTTAATAATATTCTTTGAAAAAAAGGAAATTCAGAATATTTAAAATTGCTGATTTATATCTTTAAAAATTCAATTTTGGTCAATGTATTTACTTGTATAATAAAACTTTTTAAAATTATAGAGAACTGCTATATTTCTATTTTTTCGAATCATGCATATTTGTACAAAGAACGATAACTCTTCACACTTGGGTAATAACATTCAGAAAGAGAAAATTTCTTTAACAAGTATATCTATTTCAAGAATGATTTCAGCTATTAAAAATGAATAGAAAAACTATAAAAAAAACAAAGGCCTGAAGGGCCTGCGAGTTGACTCGCTCGAGTCAATTGAGCTTTTTCATACATCTGGGCACCATACCTTAATATATTCAGTTTATTTTGCATCTTAAGAGATTGAATATTATATGTCTGATCCATGTTCGGTTCATAAATAAAGTGTATATTGCTTTTCCTTTATAAATACAGGTTGGAACTAATGGGCTTCCGTATTATTTTGACTGGATTCTATAATGAATTTCAGCACACTAGTTGAAGTGGTCAGTGTTATGGAATAATTAGTTTAAAGATTCCCACAGCAAATCTGGATTCTAAAAATAGATTTTCAACAACAACTAGCTGCAGCTAATGAGAGCAGCAGGTGTTTGTGTTAAGGATTATTCTAGGTCAATTATAAATAAACTTCAGATGGGAAGATTAGATCCGCCTAACATGCTTGAACATATATTCATACGCAGTAATTGTACATCGTACAGATATTGAATCAAAAATTTCTTTAAAAGCATGAAGGCATAAATAATGTTACAGTACAAAATTTTATACAGTTTTCACCTCTTAAGTTTATACAATCACTCAAACCAAAGCATTTTTTGCTAGAACTATAATATTTGGCATATGGATCACCTTGATGAATGCGTGATAAATTTTACAGCTCTGAAACGGCTATGTCAACAGGGAGTAGCTCGCTACGCGAGCCAACTCAAAAATTATAGAAAAGCATTCTGGAGTAATAATCATTATAACAGCATTCTCATTTTTCATCATAGTGTTAAATTATTGATTTTTGTCAGAGGGTTTTAATAACGTTGATCAATGACGTCACAACTGCATCAAAACAAAAATGTGATGAACAGCGCTGCTTGTATCCAGATAACTGTGTTTGAGAGGGAAATACTTTATAAATTGTTTGTGATTTATTAGAGAAAAGGAGCATTAATCAGGTTTACTGATTTTAAAGCCGTATGTTTTTCTTTACTGAAGAAAAGAAGCTGCATCGTTATGTAAGTAAGGATTTCCTCTGATACTCTTGAAAAAAAAATCAAAGAATGCAAATATAAGTAATAAACAACGATTATTCAGTGAACATGGCATTATGAATAGCATAACTCTGCTGGCATATTTTCCATGATGCGCTAGCGCGCATCATGGAATATGCCAGCAGAGCAATTGCTATTCATAACGCCATGTTCACTGAATAACGTTGTTTATTTCTTAAATATTATAATCAACCTCTGGATGTTCAGTGTAAGAACTGGACTGGTTCCCCTTTTTATGGGGAGGTTTACCTGAAGCCGAAGCTGAGCCATATCCCTCATTAACTGGTTTCTCCTGCTCTCCTCATCAGCCTGAAACAAACAACACACACCTGATCAGGTGAGAGACTAGCAGCTCATCTGTCATTAGGTCGCCTTATTGATAGCACTTCTTTTTTATTTTCATGTCTACATTACAACCTAAAGATAGATTAGGTGAAAACTAAATGAAATAGTAGCTTACAGAGACATTTATATTTGATATATGATACCAATGTTTTCAAATGATGAGGACACTGAAAATATAATTCTAGGAACAAATAAACAAAGCCAGTCTAAGTAGAGCTTGTTTTAATTGGTTGGCTGTAGTTCTTTTAATTGGTTAGTTTTTCATAAGGACCTTTTATATTGCTCTTTTTGTGTCGGTTTACCACAACAGCGCTTCATTAATATAGATATAAGATGTGGATAGAAAATATGTGAGCTGTTTTATCAAAATTGATTCCCATCATCTCCAAACCATTGCCAAGATATATCCTGTCAAGCGAGGTTAAATTCAAACTGGAGTAAGACTTCCTTGTGGTTTTTCCAATGATAAATGTTGCTAAATTTTTCCCTCTTCAAAAATACGAACTATTCACCTTGAAAATGTGAAATTGATTGACAAGTGAATGAAACGTTACATGTAACCAATCAGAAAGCATCACTCTGCAGCACATGGCATCACTTCAATGTTTTCATTCATAATCAGAATCAACATCCCGCCTGGAACTCTACACACCCAATTAAAGTTTGAATCCATTAACTAGAGGAATTCTCCAAAATATGTTTTATATTAGCAGTGTCTGTTACTGCAATTACTGATAAGTTTGTCGAAAACGTGATACAAATCTCCTCCTTTTGATTCAAGTTGCATGCATTTTTTCCGTGAAATATAACCCGGCCAGGTTTCATAGCAAGTAAAGCTCTTGCACTGCCTGATGTGCCAAATGTTGGAAGCTCTTGAGCTGCAGTGCCAGTGCACCGTTGTTTTTTACCTGAGTAATCAGGAATGGACCACCACCTCAGCTTATTGATAAAGTGGCAAAAAATGTGCCACAAATGATGTATAAATTGCTGAGAGATAGCTAATATGGTCTGCAAGAAATCAGTTCTTTGTTGATAAAGGATCCCACCTTGCGAAGTCGTTAGGGCACCGCGATCAAGTTTTCCTTTATTTTTAGGTTCGCATGTTTTTTACTAAAAGCTTTTACAGGTGTACCAATAGAATGAATCTGGTGCATTTTATTGGCAAAGAAAACATCTAAAAAGCATTATATTCCTTTTTACTTTATAAATATATAAATCATTGATTAATATTTTTAATAAGATCTTATATATATTTCCTTTACTAATTTAAAGCATAAAATTTTTTTTAGATGTCATCCTCTCAAATATCTTTTAAAATGCACTGTCTTTTAATCATTTAGCAGGTGCTTTTAGCTCGACATGGGTCATTCTTCACCAATAGTCATTAAATTTGATTACTATAATTATCAATGATAAATGTTTTATTTGCCTGTCTCATTAATTAAAATCGACCAGAGAATAGCCCTGTGAGAGTGTCTACAGTGGAGTCGGTATCATCTCATTCTCCAACACAGAAAACATGAGATGGATATCTCTTTTTTTTTCTCAAAACTTCAGATCCCACTGATAACCTGGATTCTCGCCTAGGCATCTCCATCATCACCATAAAGGAAGTTACATTCTACAAGACTTCAAAGGTTATGGCCACCATCAGAATCCTCAAGTCCTATCTCTCTCTCTCTCTGTTCCCAGAAAAGAATTACTGTTTGATGAATGACTCCAATTTATGCTAAATTTCAATTAAATCAAATAATTACCCCTATGGTAAGAGAGATCTAAGTGTGTGAAGAAATCACTTTCTCACAACAATACAGGCATTTATGACAGTACCATATCAAATCATTTGTTTTATTGAAATACAGGAGATATATTGAGTTTAGCACTGTGTGTTTCTCTATAGATGATAAGAGAAACCCCAACATAACACTACTGACAATACCTAGGAGTGACTACTCCAACACCCAGCGACGTTCTACATCTCTGTAGTTATCACACAACAGTGACGGTAAATGAAAGCTCCCAGATAATGGAAAATGTAAAAATTAATTTGATCTGATCTAAATATGATCAACTACACCTGCTCCCCCTGTCATCTGTTACAGAAGTAATCAGAATCCAGGATCAGATATACAACATCCCTCCCTTCCCTGCATTCTTTGGGGAGGAAAAACAACTTTATCAAGGAACCAATCAAATGTCCTCCTTTGGTGCCTAAGTTACATGTCTTTATTCGTAATGAATCACAATTAGCAGTGCTGATAAACTAATGTCATTCAACCCACTGCCATCCAATATGAGACTGGACATAAGGTCACTCAGCGGAATGCTTAGTTCTAATGAGGGCAACAGAGTCCTGAATGACTCCACATAAACACAGGCTCTAATGAGATAAACAAAACCTGTGCTGTTCTGCCCCACAAACTTGATGTATATGCTGCAGGCTGATGCAAAAAAAAAAAATCCATGAGTCACCGTTGAACCATCTGGGAGAGCAATTAAGG